CTTGGACTATTTGGTTACTATCCTTGGCATTATGTAGCATGGGACTTTTTCTTGGACTTAGGATTAGAAATCTTGGCCCACCTTAGAGACCTTGTGATCTTATCTGATTATTTTGTCTGGAGCTCTTGAGGTTTACCTCAAGACATTGGGTTGCTTGTTTGTTTTTGTGTGCAGGTTTTGTGATTACATCCTTCGTCTGTAATCTGGAATTCACCTGTATACAGCCGTTACTCTGCCCAATTTTTGTGAAGACTTAATACACTTGAAGAGGTCTAGTATCTTTGCTTGCATAGTTTCAATCCAAAGAATGAGAATTCTATCTTGGCTCATAATATCAAGTTTTGGCGTCTTGTTGGTTAGATGGTCCTTATCCTTAGCTTTTACCTTATGCTTTAGGATAGTCTCTTCTTCTCCTCCCATTTTCTTTAATTTCAAAAATCTTCTCCCTCTTTTTTTAAAACCCTTCTTGTTTCTAAACTTGAACCACTTTCATAATAAACTTGGACTTATGTCCATGCATTTTCAAAAATCATTTTCATAAATAAACTTCAATCAATTTAATAATACTTTGACACTTTTTTGTGAGAAGACTAAAAGTCAACCAATCTCACTTCAAACCATTTTGCCACTTTGGCTCTTACATTTAAAACTTTTTCTCAAAAGGTTAGACTCTTGTCAATCCTTGTAGTGATGCAAACAACTATACTTCTACAATATATAGTGAAGAGAGATATTTTCCACTCGGGTGTTGAGTGAGGTATTGTTGATTTTAAAATCCAAGTCATATCCTCCACTTTGAGATGATACAAATTCTCCTTTCTCATGATTGTGGGTAGTAAATATGTTTTCCACACGGACAATGACGATGATGTCTTATCTCTTAAAATCAACCAACACATTTGTGTCTCAAATTTTTAAAAGAGGAACTACGTGTACCCTGATCCCCTATTGCACGAAAGGTGGTACGTAGGCACTAAAGGTTCGCAACCGCGGCGGGTGCAAAAATCATAAAAAAAAATACTTCTTTTCTTACCTCCACTATCCATTTTTTATACAACACATTTCATAGCCAAAATATACAGATTTTTACAAAGAGGTTCCTGCGGAGTACCGTAGATGTTTAGGGTGCTAATACCTTCCCTTTGCATAACCAACCCCCTTATCTTGAATCTTTCCCCCTTTTTTTGGGTTATTCACTCTTTTCCCATTCCTTTGGAAACAATAAAGCGTGGTGGCGATTTTTTTATTTTGATTTGTATAAAGTCTAGTCAATCCAATGGCTTAGTCTTGAACATTTCTACCGCTACAAGATCAAGAATGTCACAGAAACACATGCACAAACAAAATAAAAACATTTGTTATAAAAGATAAAATAGATCTGATACAAAAAATAACACAGAAACAGAAATAAAAAAGAGAAGATAAACATACTTGATACTGAAAGTGTTAGGAAAACAGAGATTCAAGTCCAACCATGTAAAAACAAAATAAAAAAACAGAAGATAAACATGTTTAATATAAAAGAGAGAAGAATGAGAACCAAAACAAAGAAGGAAACACGAGCAAAATAGACAAAATCAAAACAAAAATGAAGATGAAAACAAAATTGGAGAAGGAGAACATACCTTTAAAAATAAGAAACTAAGATGGAAACAATCTCAGAAAAGGGTTATGTGAGAGAGAGTTAACACAGTGGATGCAAGAATCTACACTATTATAGGCTTCCTTCAACGACAACGATGATGTTGTTTGGAAATTAGAATTTTGTTTATGAGAGAGGAAGTAAAATGGAATGGATGAAGGAAGAATGTATGGGAAATGTGAATGAGAAAGTATGAGAGAAGAATCATAGGATTAGTGAATAAAAAGCTCCAAAGCGGCATCTTATCATGAACATAAAATAAAAAAATTAAATAAATAATAATCGGGTCGGTTCGGTTAGTGCGAACCATATATGTTGGTTTGAACCGGCCCTAACTTAACCTTGGAAAACTGACTAGGCCAATGGACCCGTCAGACCGAACCGACCTAATTCAACGTCAGACCAAACCAGCCTAATTCAACCATAAAAAACTAATTGGGCCAACCGCTGGACCCGTCAAATTGAACCGACCCAACCAATTTTTTTTGTGATTTTCTTGGTTTTGAATTGGGCCTGGCCTATTTGTCCAACCCTAATGTCAACTATCTAACTAATCTTCGTACTTGAGTAATACTATTACTAAAAGGCCAGGCCCATTTGGCACCCTATAAATTGCTATCAATCCCTCCTGAAAACCCAAAATACTCTCAAATTCTAGAGATGCATCTTTGAACGCACCCAAAAATACAAACCAACTTTATTTTTTATAACACCCGCAATAATAAGTTGCTTTTATTCGGAAGATGCATGTTCGGAATGTACTGAAACACATATTCAATAACACAAATGCATATTTTGTAGCTAAAATTTAAATTGATGACTTAAAAGATGAAATATTACATATATATAATCAGACATTACATAAATGAAACATATCAGCTTTGAGGTGGACGTTCCAACATCCTAACAATAGTTGCAGCAGTCTTGAGCTCGAAGTTGTTGAACTCAATGTTCCCTTCATGTCAATCGAGGGAGAACGAGTCTCAAACTTCACAATTTTTCGATTGTCACCGTATATTAGGAGTTCTTCTAGTATGAATTTTAGATCCTCAAGATAGGTATACTCATTGAACTTTAATGCAATCGATGACTCTGCCACGTTGAAGTAGACATATGTGATATTTTAAATGATATTCATTCTGATGTAATGTAATAGTGTAAAAAATGATATGAGAGTAACATATTCATACAAGTTCTAGATCAATATGAACCTCAGGAATATATATATATATATATATATATATATATATATATATATATATATATATATATATATATATATATATATATATATATATATATATATATATATATATATATATATATATATGATGCAGATATCTGAAACCACAAAACACAGTAAAACTCATAAACAATGAAAAATATAACCTTTTTGTAAAAAAAAATTTTTCATTGTTTATGAGTTTTACTGTGTTTTGTGGTTTCAGATATCTGCATTATATATATATATATATATATATATATATATATATATATATATATATATATATATATATATATATATATATATATATATATATATATATATATATATTTTTTTTTTTTTTTTTTTTTTTTTTTTTTTTTTTTTTTTGACATCATCAATGTTAATACAATATTATATACAAACTAAAATGAATAGATATACAAGTGTCGGTGGCTAAATTTATATCTCTAGATTGTACCGCTTTTGATTTTTGTTTATTTGATTCTCTCTCAATCTTGCTTAATTTGGTGAACTCTTACATCCTTTTCAAAACATGATCCTGCGAAATCTCCGCTTTTGGGAGTTTGATGTCAGTTTTTTGGCTCATTATATTCAATGTCATGTCCATAACGATTTCCTTCTCTTCCAGCACTAGGCGACATATAATTGGATGTCCGACTAACTTTTCACATAGGTCATGGTTATGTAAATCAAAAATGACATTAAATTTATATTTTTTTTTATTTGACAACAGATAACCACACAATTTAAAAGGACTCACATTTTCTCGAACCAGTGTCATCTCGTTTGAATTTTCGAGAGGAGTTCTATATGTCTCACTTTTTTCGCATCTCATTGTCACAAATGCATCTCTTTTATCCGAACCATCTCCAGAATAGGCTGACATGCAAAGGTCACGACTTTTCAATTTCCCTCTTCACAATATCGAAAATGGACCTCCGAAAAAGTCCCAGACTTGATAAATTAGAAATAAAATGCTTGGATTGGTCCAAAGATGCGTCTCTGAAAACTATTTTGAAACAAAAAAGAGGTGCGACTCAATTGAATTATGTTTCAATAGTGTTCGAGACACGTCCAAAGATTTATCTCTAAAATCGGAAGGACATTTTTTAATTTTCATAGATGTCATTCCACTTCATAGAGTGAAATTAGCCATTCACATTCCTAAATAGCTAAATTTTATTATGAAAGAATTATTATTAGATATTTCATGAATATAAACCATCCATGATAAAAAGATAATCAATTTATAAACTAATGAAAGAGTATCCAATTCACTTTAAAAAGAGTATCTAATTCTAAATTCTTTCTAACACTCATCAAGCCTGCAGCCAAATACATAATCCTATCATAAAGGCTAAAGCTCTTCCATACAAAGATTATTCTAAAAATTAATCAAAAAAACTCATAATTTAACTTTTTCATAAAGGAAAAAAAAAAGCTAAGCAAAGAGACAAGCAATTTAAAGGGTCCCATATTGTCTAATGAAGCCTCTGGTAAGTATATTGAAAACGTATCACTATTCCCCTAGTACAAAATATCACACTCCTCTTTTCAATCTCTAACACAGATTCAAAAAGCAAAAAAAAACCTCTCCTTGTCACACTGTGTGCCATTAAAATCTCTCCCTTTCTCTCTCATCGTCATCTTCATTGTGAAATCCAATCCCACCAATCAAAACTCAAGAAACACCATCTCAATAGATAGAGAGAGATAGAGAAAATCAACAAAGTGAAAGAGAGAGACTGTGACACACACACACATACTAGGACACACTCTCTTTAACCTCAAAACTAGTTCTCATTCCAATGACTACATGTTCGCCACGTGGCTCATGCTTTCACCATTAACCATACAAACCGTTTTCATTGGAAGACACACTTTTTCTCTCTTTCTATCTCATACTCCTCACAAATCAAATAAAAACTCATCAACACAGAAGAAGAAAAACACAGTTTCAACTAAGTTGAGTTGAGTTGAGTTGAGAAATTCACCACACAACTCAACTTTGGTTAAGAGTGTACAAATTTCTCATACCCCATCTTTTCTTTAACCAAAATTTGCTCTTTATTGTAAAAAGATTACATTTTTAGTTTGTTTTTCTTAGTCTAGAATTTGGGTTGGTGATCAATGGCTTCTTTGGTATCAACACCATTTACTCTACCAAATTCTAAAGCTGTTCAACTTTCTTCACTTTCTCAAAAGCACCTCTTTCTTCATTCTTTCCTTCCAAAGAAAACCAATTACTATGGTGCCTCAAAAGCCTCCTTAAGAGTGAAATGCAATGCAGTTGGTAACGGGTTGTTCACTCAAACAACCCAAGAAGTTCGTAGAATAGTTCCAGAGAATAAGCAAAATTTACCTACTGTGAAAATTGTGTATGTTGTTCTTGAAGCTCAGTACCAATCATCAGTCTCTGCAGCTGTTAGAGCACTCAACACCAACCAGAAAGATGCTTCTTTTGAAGTTGTCGGTTACTTAGTCGAAGAGCTTCGCGACGTATCCACATACAAAAGTTTTGAAAAGGATTTAGAAGATGCTAATATCTTCATTGGTTCTTTGATCTTTGTTGAAGAGCTTGCACTCAAAGTGAAGACTGCTGTTGAGAAGGAAAGGGACAGACTTGATGCAGTTTTGGTGTTTCCATCAATGCCTGAAGTGATGAGATTGAACAAATTGGGATCTTTCAGCATGTCACAGCTTGGACAATCAAAGAGTCCTTTTTTTCAGCTTTTCAAGAAGAAGAATACTTCTTCTGCAGGATTTGCTGATAGCATGTTGAAGCTTGTGAGAACTTTACCTAAGGTTTTGAAGTATTTGCCAAGTGATAAAGCTCAAGATGCTAGGCTGTATATACTGAGTCTTCAGTTTTGGCTTGGTGGATCACCTGATAATTTGCAGAATTTCTTCAAGATGATTTCTGGTTCTTACGTTCCTGCATTGAAAGGTGCAAAGATGGAGTATTCAGAGCCAGTTTTGTTTTTAGATAATGGAATTTGGCACCCTTTAGCACCTTGTATGTATGATGATGTGAAAGAGTATTTGAATTGGTATGGAACTAGAAGGGATGCTAATGAGAAGCTAAAGAGCTCAAGTGCACCTATTGTTGGTTTGATTTTGCAAAGGAGTCATATTGTTACTGGTGATGATGGTCATTATGTTGCTGTGATTATGGAACTTGAGGCTAAAGGTGCTAAGGTTATTCCGATTTTCGCTGGAGGGTTGGACTTTTCGGGGCCGGTTGAGAAGTTCTTGATTGATCCTATTACTAAGAAACCTTTTGTGAATTCTGTGATATCTCTCACTGGCTTTGCTCTTGTTGGAGGACCTGCTAGGCAAGATCATCCGAGGGCTATTGAAGCTTTGATGAAGCTTGATGTTCCTTATATTGTCGCATTGCCGCTGGTTTTCCAGACAACGGAAGAGTGGTTGAATAGTACTTTGGGTTTGCATCCAATTCAGGTTGCTCTTCAAGTTGCATTGCCTGAGCTAGATGGAGGAATGGAACCAATAGTTTTCTCCGGTCGAGATCCCAAAACAGGTAAAGTAGTCCCTATTTTCATAAACTTTTGTCATGGCTTCTATGATAATCATTTAACCATTTACTAAATTTTTCAGGAAAATCTCATGCTCTTCACAAGAGAGTGGAGCAGCTTTGCACCAGGGCAATCAGATGGGCTGAATTGAAAAGAAAAACAAAGGTACTTGCCATTTTAATGAATCAGAATTCGGAAATATCTGCAGAGAATTTCTACATTTGATATTTACTTAAATTGCAAATGATATAATATAGTAGTAAACTAGTGGTGAATTCTGTTTTTTGTAAAATGAAGTTAATAATAAAAGTTATATTTTGATATTTTTACTTGACCTGATCGGAAGCTCATATGTTGGAAGTTTTGTATGTTTTTGCAATGAGGTTTCCGTCTTCGTTTTGAATTTACCACACCCTTATCTGTTTTCTGTGAGTCTGACTTACACTGTTGAAATTCTTTTGATACAGGAAGAGAAGAGACTAGCGATCACCGTCTTCAGTTTCCCACCAGACAAAGGAAATGTAGGAACTGCTGCCTACCTGAACGTTTTCTCCTCCATTTTCTCGGTTCTAAAAGAACTTGAAAGTGATGGTTACAATGTTGAGGGTCTTCCAGAGACTTCAGAAGCATTGATTGAAGATATATTGCACGACAAAGAAGCGCAATTCAGCAGCCCAAACCTCAACATTGCTTACAAAATGAATGTCCGCGAATACCAAAGTCTCACTCCCTATTCCGCAGCATTAGAAGAAAATTGGGGAAAGGCTCCTGGGAATTTGAATGCAGACGGAGAGAATCTATTGGTATATGGAAAACAATATGGTAATGTATTCATTGGTGTTCAACCTACATTTGGGTATGAAGGTGATCCTATGCGGTTGCTTTTCTCCAAATCCGCCAGCCCTCATCATGGTTTTGCAGCATATTACTCTTTCATTGAGAAAATTTTCAAAGCTGATGCTGTTCTTCACTTTGGTACACACGGTTCCCTTGAATTCATGCCTGGAAAGCAGGTAGGAATGAGTGATGTATGCTACCCCGACAGTCTTATTGGGAATATTCCCAACATCTATTACTATGCTGCAAACAATCCTTCTGAAGCTACCATAGCCAAACGCCGGAGCTACGCCAATACTATTAGCTATCTGACTCCTCCTGCAGAAAATGCAGGACTGTACAAAGGTCTTAAGCAGTTAAGTGAGCTCATCGCCTCGTACCAGTCCCTCAAAGACACCGGCCGCGGACAACAAATTGTGAGTTCGATTATCAGCACAGCTAAACAATGTAATCTTGACAAGGATGTGGATTTGCCGGAAGAGGGCGTGGAGCTCCCAACCAAAGAGCGTGATCTTGTTGTCGGGAAAGTGTATGCGAAGATCATGGAGATTGAGTCCCGCCTTTTGCCTTGTGGACTCCATGTCATTGGTGAGCCACCCACAGCTATGGAAGCAATTGCTACATTGGTGAACATAGCTGCACTTGATCGTGCCGAAGAAGGTATTTCTGCCCTCCCTTCTATACTAGCTGAGAGTGTAGGAAGAAACATAGAGGAAATTTATAGATCGAGTGACAAAGGAATATTAAAGGATGTAGAGCTTCTTAAGCAAATAACTGAAGCATCACGCGGAGCAGTTACTTCCTTTGTGGAGCGCACTACTAATAAGAAAGGTCAAGTTGTTGATGTATCTAACAAACTTACCTCAATTCTTGGATTTGGCATAAATGAACCATGGATTCAGTACTTGTCGGACACCAAATTTTACCGAGCTGATAGGGAAAAGCTTAGAACTTTGTTTGGGTTTATGGGTGAATGTTTGAGGTTGATTGTAGCTGATAATGAAGTAGGAAGTTTAAAACAAGCCTTGGAAGGTAAATATGTAGAGCCAGGACCTGGAGGTGACCCCATCAGAAACCCTAAAGTTTTACCAACAGGAAAGAATATTCATGCTCTTGATCCACAGTCTATTCCTACTACAGCAGCGATGCAGAGTGCCAAAATAGTTGTAGAGAGATTGCTCGAAAGGCAAAAAATTGATAATGGGGGAAAGTATCCTGAGACGGTTGCACTTGTACTGTGGGGAACAGATAATATTAAGACATACGGAGAATCACTGGCTCAGGTTCTGTGGATGATTGGTGTGAATCCAATATCCGATGGACTCGGAAGGGTCAACCGTGTAGAACCTGTAAGTCTTGAAGAGCTTGGAAGGCCTAGGGTTGATGTCGTCGTTAATTGCTCTGGAGTATTCAGAGACCTTTTCATCAATCAGGTATCAGTTATCAGTTCCATATCTGTTTATTTATCCTGTAATGGAGCCTAGGATCAATTTAGTTCTCCTTGTGTATGTTCGATTGCTGATATATTTATTTACTATTCTTCTTTAGATGAATCTTCTGGATAGAGCAGTGAAGATGGTTGCAGAATTAGACGAACCAGCAGAGCAGAACTATGTAAGGAAGCATGCATTAGAACAAGCTGAAGCCCTTGGGGTTGAAGTTCGAGAAGCAGCAACAAGGATCTTCTCCAATGCATCAGGATCCTACTCCTCAAACATAAACCTGGCTGTGGAGAATTCTTCATGGAATGATGAGAAACAGCTCCAGGACATGTACCTTAGCAGAAAGTCTTTTGCTTTTGATTGTGATGCCCCTGGTGTCGGCATGACTGAAAAAAGACAAGTCTTTGAGATGGCTCTCAGCACAGCAGACGCCACGTTCCAAAACCTCGACTCGTCGGAAATCTCCCTCACCGATGTCAGTCATTACTTTGACTCAGACCCAACTAACCTTGTTCAGAATCTAAGGAAAGATGGGAAGAAGCCAAGTGCATACATTGCTGATACTACCACGGCTAATGCCCAGGTAAAAGTTGTTTTATGAATGTACTGCTTTCAAACTTGTTTTCTACAAATTTCCGTACAAGAATAATATATGATTATTACCCTCAGAACTTAAAGTTTTTATGCTATGGTTTCCATTTGACCTTATGGAGATATTCCTTTCAGGTGCGTACCCTATCCGAGACAGTTCGACTTGATGCAAGAACCAAGCTATTGAACCCAAAGTGGTATGAAGGCATGTTATCAAGTGGTTACGAAGGTGTTCGTGAGATCGAGAAGAGGCTTACCAACACAGTTGGATGGAGTGCTACGTCTGGACAAGTTGACAACTGGGTGTATGAAGAAGCCAACACAACATTCATTCAAGATGAGGAAATGTTGAAGAAGCTGATGAGCACAAATCCCAACTCCTTTAGGAAGCTTGTGCAGACGTTCTTGGAAGCCAATGGACGCGGTTACTGGGAAACTGAAGAAGAAAACATTGAGAAGCTGAGACAGTTGTACCAAGAAGTGGAAGATAAAATCGAAGGCATTGACCGTTGAAGTATGCACTTATAATTGAGATCAATATATAGTACCTTCGGTATCTCTGAAACACTACCGCCTTGAATTCATAGTTATTGCCAATGGCATTGTTAATGTAATTTTATCTCCTCTCCTGTTGTTTCCCTGTTGTAATTTTTGTTGACTTTCAGGGATCATGTTCCTTTGTGCAGCTGCAAATTCCAAATAAACTTAGCCAATGTATCTTCCACTTTTAAATATAAAGATAGGTTTCTGTAATATATAGATTGCTCATGTTACAACATAGTATGATTTTTTTGTCTTGAATCTTAGTTTTCTAAGGAAAAGAGGTCTGAAGAGTGAGACAAGTCTGGCCAATGATTCTTCTAGGTCGCGTTCGAACTCGGTTCTACTGTAGTTGGAGTCTGTATATGCATGATGCATGTAGTTCTTACTGTTCTTCTGTTTGGAGTCTTCCAACTTTTTTACTCTCCTGTAACCATGTCTTCTTTTTTGGATTTCTTTTGAGTAATATCATAAAGCATTTTACAAACAGAAGTTCGGGGTTTATGTTTAAACAAATTGCACAGATTATAAACTGTTTAAATAAGCTATTTCAGATAACTTATAATAAACTGAAAATGACTTATAAATACATTAAAGAATAAACCTGAATAAATTGTGAACAAGTTCTTTTAAACACACCTAAACTGTTTAAAAAGGGAAAGCACTGTAAAAAGAATCTCTCAATGGAGAGCTTGAATTGCAATATTCATTACATTACAAATACATTTCCATTTCATATTTTCACAAAAAAGAAAGAAAAAAATACATTAATACATTTTCTGTGGACTACAATAAAGGGGTGAGAGAAAAAAAAGGTTAAAAAACCACCCTAGAAAATTTAGAAGATAAAAACAAAAATGAACAAGACTTTATAACACTAATTTTTGATTGAGAAGAGTTCGTGTAGAAGTTTTATCCAAGTGTTACATGTTTCTCGGTTCTCTATTCTCGGCTAGTATCAAGAAACAGTTTTTACCTTTCAAACCAATTCCATTAGGAGTGGATCTCCTTCAGCCATTATTCTGATAAGCTTAATAAACTCTTGCTCACTTGATACACTCCATGGATGAACAGCAGGGACTTTAGCCGAATAAATAGTTGAGGAATTAGTCGGAGGTTTTTTCTTGTAAATTGTTGTATCAAGAATAGGATCAAAATTCTGTGGAGAATCCATGGAGACAAAGAACATGGGAATTGCAACCTTTTGATGGATCTCTAGATTGTCTACTAGGTTAACAAGCTCAACAAAATCACTGGTCAAGCGCTGGGGAACGTAAAATATCTCGGAACTGCATAACAAGAGGTTCTTGTCATTGCTACTTGTTTCTTTATAATTTACTTGAAAGTGAGCTGGCATCATGCTTACAATCTTCTGTACCATGCTTGCTTGTTGAGATAACCAGTCAGCATTGTTGTCCTCGGTTATAACAGAAGACCAAGACTTGGCTACCTAAAAAAAGAAAATGAACATGACATCAACTATTTGAGAGCCCAAAACTCTTTGATTTTATCTGAGGCGACAAAACACAATAACAGATGCCAAATTACCTTATTAGTGATCCACAGTTTGGTTTTATCTGCTTGCAGTAAGTTCCAATAGTTAAGAATTGTATTATCCTGCAGGAATAGAAATCCTTCTGCGCTGCTAAATTGATCGAATATTTTTGGCAGGTACCTAGAAACAGAAAAGGAAAATTAAAATAATATCAAGTAGGAAAAAAATAATATCAATAAGAAGTTCAGTACTGCTGCACCGGTTCAAACATTACTTGTCAAGTAAGTGCACTTTCAGAATCTGTCCTATTAACAAAGAGAACCACAATTCACTAGTACTTCATTACATGATAAAACAGCAACAGCCCAAAGCGGTAACTCGAACATTTGATACTGAGCTAGTGTTCAGTTTAGATTTAGGTGGATAGAATGGTTTTAAATTGCGGTCCGCTGCCGTAATTGCAACCGCTATATAAAGGATTTTGAAGTCTTCACAATGGCATCCCAACCACATTTTTCATCATTTTCGTCACAATATAAATGTTTGCAGCATAAATGCAACCGCAAACACAATTTAAGACCCTATTTACAACCATCACTAATACACAGCTTAGTCATGGAATATCAATCTTTCATATATTTAGTTATATGCAAGATAAAACAGGACTTACTTGTATGCTCGGTCCAAATGGCTCTCCTGTACAACAAGATCTACATCCTTCTTTTTAGACAAAATAACTACAGTTCTGAATATTCTCCCATAAAGCAACCTCCATTCAAGGGCCGTACGTTCGACAGGCCCGCTGCAATGCATGACAAGCACAACATTCCCAAAAGTTTTTCTCCATCGGATTAAATTAGCAATCTCGTAATTCACAGTTCCCGTTTCTTCAACCCCAAGATGAACTGACGGCAACTTTTGTGGAATAAACTCCCTCTGGTCTCCGTGACCAATGTTTGCCCTCGGTCGACCAAGTTCTAAAGACATTAACCTTGGCTGCTGATAACCAACAGCTAGCAAGTCCTGAAGCCATGCCGCGGTAAGTTTCACATCCTTGTCAGTCCAAAAGCCCTCCTCTGCCATCGCGTAACTCAAATCCAAGATCTTTTCGAACAATCTATGCTTATCTGATCTCCACGAAACCAAATACTTGATTAAACGACCGACATTCACGTGAAGATCCTTCTCCTCCGAAAAAGGATAAGCCTCAACCCTGTCGTACCTATGGACAGTAGGGGGATATACGGCAACATAACCCCCAACTTCCCAAAGAAGCCTCTGTCCCCAATAGCCTCTCAAAACATCAGAAGCCATCCTGCTAACCGACGCCGGAAGCATCAAAGCCCAAAACGCAGGAGAATGGTACATTGTATTAAAAGAATTAAGTGGCATCATCATCCCCTGTGGCAACGCAACCTTCGGGGCATGCTCATCAAATCGAATATCAAACGGTTCCAAACCCGATTTCCTCGTAAAATAAAACACAGAATCAACATCAGGAAGTCCATTGGAAATACCCTGCTGAATGAACTGTTTCCCACCAAAGACCTGAGTATAAAACTCTTCATGTCCAATTTCACCCACATTCTCCAACGGCAAACCTCTAGGCCAAACGGAACGCTGTCCGAAATGAACATAAGGATTCACAACGGATCGATTCGGATTATCATGACTATACTGCAACAAAACCTCTTGCCTAGCAGCCTCCCCAACCAACTCAACATCAAAATGTTTCCCCAAATCTCCATCAATGACTTCCCCTCTATCATCCGCATCAAAAATCTTCCTAGCCCCATGTTGCATTGCAAACAAATACCCAACATTCTTCCTAACATAAGAATCATAAGGCAAGTAATCCACAATCCTAAACCCCAAATTAGCCTGTTCATCCAAAGACAAAAAGATCGCACCTTTCAAATTCCAATCCGCCGGCGTTCTGGAATCACCAATCGCCACAACCTGCCACCCTTTCAACTTCACCAGCTTCTTCAAAGCATCACTCGGGTAATCCGAAACCGAAACCACGATCCATTTCTCGGACCGAAAATTGGCAAACTTGGAAGCTTTATCAGCAATCGGAGTAATCTTATTCCAATCCACGCGCGGAAACTCGATCTTCTCGAGATCACGCGCTTTATTCTCAAAACAAAGTAACGCCGCTGTATCCCCAACGTTTCGAAGGAAGAATAGCGCGGCGACGGTTAGTACGAGGAGAACAACTGAAACAATCTTGTAGAGATTGTCGGAAACCCATACGGAGAAGTCGAGGTTCTTAGTCTGGGTGAAACGGTTTGAAGGAAGATCATTGGTTCTCAAGTAAGATTTTTGATTTGAATTTGGATTTAGATTTGAAGAGTTTTTTTGAGGTGAAAAACGGTCTTGAACCAACATCGAAAGAAAGTGTTAGTGTGTGGTTTTTGGTACTTGAGGTATTGACTTGAGTTGAGCTGAAAGAGTTCAATTGAAGAACAAAAACATAAACACAAACATAGAAACACAGTGTAAGGTTGTGGTTACCGACAGGTATGTAGTGTAGTTGATTGTAGTGTCGGTTCCTTCAGCTTCAATGTAACTGCAACTAGTTTGGTGTGGTGGAATCTTCGACTTGTTATCTGACACCTTATTATTATTATTTAGTTATTAGTATTTGTATTTTATTTTTTATTTTATGGGGTTTGGTTTGGTGTTGGGAAATGGTGTTATTAGGTGGTGTTTCACATTATTTTATTATTATTTGAAATTTTACTTTTTTTTTAACTCTTTTTGATACGATGATTTAGAGTGAAAAATAGATCGAGAATGATGAAGGTTTTTGAGAGATTTTAAAGAATGAAAGAAGAAATGATGGTAATCAAATATGATTATACTGGTTACTGTTTTAAATAATATGCATCGTCTTTTAAATCGGAATTATACTTTTAGTTATATATAAAATATTAAGGTGACAACAAAATTCAATCTTCCCGCTAATAGAATCGAAAATTGAATTCCGATTTAAAATCGAAAAAATATATCTCCGACACTATTTTTTGTATTTTAAAGAATGAAATCACATTTAACACTATTTTATACAAAATATTATACAAATCGAAAATATATTTTCAATTTTCTAATGAGCAAATTTGAAATTACATATAATATCATTTGTGGAATAAGAAACTCTTATTTATTACGAAAATAAATGGTGATTTGAAATGGTGTTTATTTATGGGGCTTGTGATGTGAGCTTCACACCCGATAAGATGACTTTCAAAAGCAGTTAAGCTTCGTGTATGGTAAGGTAACCACTTTTTATGCTTTTTTTCCAAAATGGAAATTACTAATATACTAGTATTTATTTATTTTAATCTACTAAATTTTATATTATTTAAGAAAATATATAAAAAATTAAAGAATATATCTAGGTTTGTATTTCAAGGAATACACTTTTTTTTCTTCTTCATTTCAATGGGTTTTGTGCGTGGTTAACAAGTTGTTTTTGCATTCATTGAATGAATAATAAGGATGTCTTTTCTTTATGCACTAAGTTTAAAAGAAAATAAGTAAATGCTATATTTTCCCGGCCGATGGAAATTTTTTACTAGATTTTCAATATATTTGGTTTAGAGAACATTAAAATGTTACCAAGTATAGTGTAGTGTATGAACCCGATAAATTGTAGATTAGGGTAATTTTGTAAAAAAAAAAATTTAATAATTAAGTATTAAAATTTTTTTTTACAAATAATCACGTTTCGAAAAAAAATTACGCAAATAACCATGTTTCAGATGGCTCTCCAAAGGAGGAGTCATCTCACTTGACGTCTCCACTAAGTATTTAGCCCTAGGCGTCATCTCACTTGGCGCCTCCTCTCTCTTTTAGCCAAGTGAGATGGCGCATGCACTACAAAAGTGAGAGGAGGCGCCATCTCACTTGGCTCCTAGGGTAAAATGCTGTTTTTTATAAATAATTCGTCCGTTTCTCCGTCATTTCTCACACTGTTTTCTTAGTTTTTACTCTGTTATTTGCGTCATGACATCGCCCATGATTTTTACCAGAGATGGTTACGTTATCTTCTCCGCCACAAAACCTGCGATGAAAATGAAATTCTGGCATGGAGCGTCTGAAGCGGGAGTTGATGCGGTGACTAGATGGAGACATCGTGGAGGGGGGGAAAATTCGAAGGATCCAGCGAAGACGAACAGCAACCTCACATGCGACAGGAAGACCTAATGTTTGGTTGGAGGAAGTCAAAATAGACAGCGACGTAATGTTGATGATGCATGGGTCAGATGATATTGTTTTAACAGTTGTAATTTCGTAGACGAAATATCGTGTTTTTTTTCTTGTACGCGCAATGTTTATTGTAGCAAATATTATTAACGAAAAACCCTAATATTTACAACATAATTAAGGAAAGATTTTATGTAATACAATTTTTATATGGTCGAGGCAGTAGCCCGATTCAGACAATTTTTGCGATTGTGTGTGACCTGACGACATAAACCACACTTTCTTTCCAACTTGTCAAGGGAGTCCATTTCGGTTGTGATGCGCTTACTTTTGGGACGACCCTTTTTGTTCTTTCGCATTTGGTCATTATGTCATACTATTTCGCTGTCGTATGCAGCCAATAATCTGGTTTTGCTACCAAAGGGAAGCTGTTGTTGTAAACGTTGAGCAACGTTTCAGATTTGTAAATGTGTGACAAAAGTTGTAGCGCGTCTTGATGAGTATAGGCACACGCGGCAATGACATGAGAGCAAAGCATACGAAAGGCTTGAAACTTGCAACAATCGCACCAACGAGAAGGTAGTACAACCCTATATTCTTGTCTTGGCAGGCCCTCGTTGTGGTCGATTGTCTCTTTCACAATGAAGTTGTGGCTGTGTCGGTCAAACTGTATAACCATATGGGTGTTGGCTTTGGCACTTTCTGCCTTAATGTACTTCATGCAGCTTTCACTACATAGTTGTCCAGATTGCAACACCGCATTCCATATTTCACCTCTTTTGGCAAACAACAAAGTCATCCTAAAATACGTAGATTTTACCAAAGCAGTGACCGGGAGGTTTCGTATGCCTTTGAATACCTCGTTCATCGACTCAATTAGATTTGTTGTCATGTGCCCCCATCTTTGGCCATTGTCGTATGACTTAGTCCATTTTTCTACTGGAATATTGTCGATCCACCTACCGGCTTCCGGATTTGACAAACGGATCTCGTTGCGGTAATATTTGAATGTGGGTTGTGTCAATGCATATCCTGCATTCATAACCGCTTTCCTTAGTGTTTTGTCTTTGATCTCCCTCGTGAAAGTTTGGACGATATGTCTAACGCAATAGACATGTGTAGAAGGAGGGTCATGCCAACCGTTTGCAGGATTATTGTATGCACTTTCAATGGATGCATGTCTATCCGAGATCAAACAGAAATCTGGTTGAGGAGCCACGTGTGTTCGTAGATTTTTCAGAAAAAAGCTCCAAGCACCACCAGTCCCCCCCTCGACTAGGGCAAAGGCAATTGGGAAAATATTGTTGTTGCCATCTTGTGCAACTGCCAACAGTAGCGTGCCTTTGTATTTCCCATACAACCAAGTCCCATCAATTTGTATAATTGGTTTGCATGATGCAAACCCTGTGATGCAAGGTTGAAATGCCCAAAACACTCGACTGGATATTCCATTTCCGTTCAGTTGACTACCATCTGGGGCGTATGCTGGCACTATTTCCAGAATGTAAACACTACCCAGAGAATAAGTCTGGAGTGCATTCAGGTAGCGAGGAAGTTCTTGGTATGACTCCTCCCAGTTTCCGTATACCTTTTCAATCATCTTGGTCTTTTCTAACCACGCCTTACGGTAATACGGAGTATAGTTAAAAACCGTAGTGATGTGGAAGATGATGGTTTTCACCTTCAAAGATGGATCATTGTTGACGAGTGGTAGGATTTCTTAACAAATGAGATCGTAATTAAGTTTTCGATGATCCTGTGATTGAGTAGAACTAACACAAGTGTGGGTAGACATGGAACATGTGACCCAACAATCACCTCTTAATTTGTATGATGCAGTGAGCTTGAACATACAATCAGGATGGACACACTTGATCTTGTACCTTTCTGGGTTTACACGGTCCACCTTAAAATCGACCGAGTTGAGCATGTGGAATTTTTTGATGGCTCTGATACATTATTCTCTGTTATGAAACTTGTCTTTCTCTTTTAAGTTTTCATCCGACTGCATATACGGATTGAAAAATAAATCAGAAGACGGTTCATCACCGCCCATGTTGAAGTTTATCATGTGCGGAGGTGGTGTGTAGATCTCGTTTGCAGGAATACCAGGTATCCCATCATCTTCGGAATCATCATTGACCATTTCGTCAAACTCTAACTCGTCATCTTCTTCTTCTTCATCAACTGCATTTACCTCTGCTTGTTCGGTCTCCAAAGGATCAACCACTTGTGTCACCTGAGGCTCTCGCAGCATAATGTACAACTCAATAGAGTCGTACCCGGAATACTCATGACTGGAAAACATATTCTGAAGATCCTCGTCATCTTTAACCTCGACCTTATAAAATATTAGTTGGTTGTTACCAAAAAAAACTGGATTCTGATAAAATATTTGTGTCACCGGGCCTCGTCCACGTTTGGCCTCCAATCATTTTTTTAAGTACAAGAAATTGGCTTTCCTATTTAAACAAAATCAGATGTTGTATGTGTCTCTAAACAAAAACCCAGAGGTGGGACAGATGTATGTCTCGCCGTTGAAATGTTCACTGATGACATATTGGGGTGCAAAGGTCATTGCATATGATTGTTTGAAGGTTTGAAGGTTGGAAGGTTTGAAGTTTATGAGTTATTTGAAGGTTTGAAGGTTTGATTGTTTGAAGGTTTGAAGGTTTGATTGTTTGAAGGTTTGAAGGTTAGAAGGTTTGAAGGTTTGATTGTTTGAGGGTTTGAAGGTTGGAAGGTTTGAGAGATTAAGTGAATCAGTGTTTTGATAAATGTAAGACTAAATAAGTCATACTAAATTTGAATTAACTAAGGTTGTAACCTCTAAGGCTCCTCCCATCATGTCCAATAGTGTTACCTAGGTTGTCACCTAGCCATTGCCTACTCTACAACCCATGTCACCTCTTATTCGCCAATGGGGATGACGGCACCTTTCATTTTTGTACTCTTTTGCCAAGTCAAATGGCGCCTCCCTTCATGTCCAATCGTGTTACATGCATGCAGAGATGACTTCTCCAAGGCTTCCACCTAGCCTGCACCTACACTGTAACCTCTAAGGCTCCTCCCATCATGTCCAATAGTGTTACATGCATTCAAAGATGCCTTCTCCATGGTTGTCACCTAGCCTGCGCCTACTCTGCAACCCATGCCACCTCTTATTTGCCAATGGGGAT